ACCTACTGCACACCCCCCGACACCGCCCTAGCTGCCCGCGCTAGCTGCCACCTCCGCGCGCCGCGAGGCAGACTCGCCGTCCCCCGCGGTCTGGTGCCCGTTGCTCACGTCCATCCACCGACTGATCGCCTCCACAAACGCTTCGGCATCCTCCTCATGAGGGCAGTGTCTACTTGCGCGCGCCACCGCAGAAAAGAACTCAACCATGCCACCGTCAGTATCATCTGTCCGCCTCTCACGCACGCGGGCTCGCCGCCCGCCCCTCGCGTCGCAGCATTCGCAAGACTTACCCGCTATTCACTCGCACAACCGTCGCCCGCGGGTACTGCGCCTCGATCTTGTCGGCCCTTCCCCGCGCGTCGTTCAGCGGGTCCAGCACCCCCTGGAACACCAGCAGCGGCCCGTCGTACTCTTGCAGCAGCTCCGTCAGCGAACGCGGCGGAGGCAGGATCACCCCGCTCGCGAGCACCTCCACCGCCCCGTAGTCGAGCGAGTCCCGCCGGATGTTGTACGCCAGCTGCTCGTCCGCGGCCGCGGGGTTGGTGGGATAAACGGCTTGCAATGTCTTTTGGATGCGCCCACGCAAACTGCGTAGCAGTGCCTCCCCTGCTAGCAAGCGCGCCGTCCGAGACTCCTCCAGGATGTATTTAAACGGGCCGCGACGGGTCGATGCGGGGACGTCACGAACTCGCGCCGATGCGTCCTCGTCTAGACGCCCAGACGAATTTATGAGGCACACCCCAGCGCACACTTCTCCGTATCCATCTGATCCGAACGCCGCGCTAAAGTATCCACCTAACATACCCCATGTGCGGTAGTTCAGAGACGTCGAGAGCAAATCATACAAAAACATGGTTAGGGTAGGGCTTTCAAACTGTGACTCTCAGCATTCATCATTCGCAGTGAATCAGCTTCAGCTTACCTATACTGTTCCCGGCCACGTAGACAGGCCGTTGAACAACTTGCTTGACAAAATCCCAAAGCATTTGCTCCCAGAGCTCTTGAGTATACTGCATCGGTGGTTTCTCAGAGCGTCCAAAACCGATCATGTCAACTGCAAACACGTGGTAATTTTCCTTCAACTTCCGCATACTCCGCCCGTAGTGCTGCGAGCTCGCGCCAAATCCATGCACCAGCAGTAGCGGCGGTTTATCCGGCTGCCCGGCGTTTGCCACACCCTCTTCAACGTAGCGCACCAAAAACCCGTTCCATCTCCAAAACTTGGCCTCATGGTCTCCATCGACGGTTTTCTTTAGCGCCGTATCGCGTCGTGCCATCAAGGTCGCGAACTCTCGCGCCTCGAGAAAATCGAGAATCAACTTCGCACCCTCTCGGTAGAAAAAACGCCATATCCGACCGTTTGCCCTTTCATGCTTGTGCACGATTTCGTAAATCCGACGCGGAGATAGAGCCCCTTGCCGGAACACCTCAGAGAGCGTGCGACCGAGGTCTGGACGCGTGTAAGCATCGGCCTGAAGCAAGTACTCTCTAATTGCAATCTCACCGTATTTGTCCTGCTCAGGATCAATCTCCAGCCCTCTGACAAAATTGAAGTCGTCCTTCACCCGTCTTTCAAACCGTGCTCGGCGGTCCAACCCCCTCGCCGACTCGAAAACCTTCTCAGCAACCTCCTCAAGTGTCATATCGGCGTCATCCAGGCCTGGCCCTGGCAAAATAACTTCTGGTTGAAAGTCCCCAGCCGATGGCACTACTTGCGCCTGCCCCCTTGCCGACCATCTCAAAAAGCTAGGAAACTCATCGGGCAGACTTTCGAAAAATTCAGGATTCTGGTAATCCCACTCGCGTAAGTCTGAGGTCCAAACTTGAACGGAAGCCATTCCGTCAACCAACCTTTCGACACGACTTACCACTTGTCTGGCCTCATGTTCAGCATCCATTCTTACATGAACTCGCTCAGCTTTATAGTCCTTCAAAAACTGTACCACTTCCTTAGCCTCGTCATTTGCAAAGCGCAGCACAAGAACTGACCCACGCGCCTGTAGCTGAGCGCCCAGGCGCTTAGCAGCGGCAATATCTGCATTTGTGGAACGCGGGGTAAGTACTAGCAGCGGGGCCAGTGCGTCAGCAGTGTGGCTGCATGCCGCGTCTAGACCGGCATGGTCTTCAGTGCGCAAGTCGCCAGGGCGGAACCAAACGACGGAACGGGAGACGCGCCGCGGGAGAACAAAACTCTCTTCAGAGAGGCTGGCGGTGCTGACGGTCATGCTGGGGCATATTGACGGGAGCCACATGCGTAGTCGCGATGATGGAAGAGGGGTTGCTGACACAAAGGCCGTGGGGCGAGGGGGACGGTTAGGAGGCGACATTGCGGGCACGTCTGTTGAGTCGAATGCAGAGCGCCAGGGACAAGGAGGCGTGCTTAAACTGTTGCAGTCTGACCAGGCGTCGGGTCTCTGCTCGCTTCTGGGAAGATGAAGAGAAAGATAGGGGTCTAGACGAAAAGGTGTCTCATGGGAGAATATCAAACGCGGGGCGGGGCGGGGATCAACTGCGAGGCTTTCGCGGATCCATTGATTGCAGAAACGCCGCTGGACAACGCCTGTGGTTGGGGAGGAGAGCAATTGGCCCAACCTCTCGCATTGCGAGATGCGGTCACGTTGGCTGCAAAATTTGCACCAACCAAACACGTCGCTACAAGCACTTTGCACAGCCATTGGCGTAATTTCATCCTCCCCGCCCCTCGCGTATCCCCCATTCTTAACCTCCGGCATTCTCCTACAGCAAACTCACTTTATACAAACTGTAGTTACCTTCCTCGTCTCCATCTTGCAACGTTTCTTAGGGTCGATGCGCGACCTAGTTGTGGATAAGCGCAGCCATGCCTCGACTCTTTGCGTTGATGACAACCAAACGAAACTAAACTTCTACTATTGTGTGCATTTGTTTCTCTTCCGCTCGTCTCTTCTTTCTTGATCGCCGCTCTCTCTTTTCTCTTCTATCTAACCGTTCTTTCCGCGTCGTATTTCGCTTTCTCCGGTCTTCTTTCTTTTCCTTCTCTCGCCGGTGACACTCCTGCCATGGTATCTCGTCCCTGTGTCCCTGTTTCCGATCCCATTCCTTCCTGTACCTTCGATTTCGATGTTTCCGATGCGCCGCCTCATCAACCTCTATCTCATTCACGTCAATAGTAACGTCCCCACTCGGCAACCCCTGTATTTGATTCACATTAACCGTGGTGGGCAACTTCTTCCTAGCACTATATCTTGCAAGAGCACGCAGACCAGCCATCGTCAACACAATGTGGAGGGCAGAGATGCTGCCGCCAATTATCAACACTGCCCACAGGTTATTTTCGTTCAGTAATTCCCCAATGATGACGCACGTGATTGCGGTAAACGCCATACTATTGCATAGCACCTCTCTCTCAGTTGGTACCCCTTCGTCTTCGTCTTCGTCGATGTCCTCTGTTTCTTCCCTTTCTTTAAAACGAGCCTTACGCATTGGTACGACAGCGCACGCCTAGCAGATTCCAATCATTGTCCTCGTTCCCGACCCGTTCGAGACGAACATTCAACCTCTCGCCGAGAACGTTTTGTCTCCAGAAACACTTGTGAGCGCTGGCGCAGTCTTGAGGAGGAGTGCTAAGAGAATAGTCGCCTGGCAATCAGGGCGTTGTTTTCCTGGAGAAAGGAGGAGTGTAATCGTGTACGGTTCCAGATTACTTTTACCGCTGTCCGCCGGAGTAGACGGAGAAATGGATAATTAGAACGTAGACGCCTTTCACTCAGTCCCGGTAAGCTTGGTCAATTGAACGAACGTGGCGTGTTGGGATTGATACTACTACGATTTTCGAGATGGAGCAAACGCTCAAATTTGTTTTTCTTCAGACGCTTTAAAAGTGCATAAACCCCAAAATATAGTACAGTTTAAAAATGCTTGCAGCGTAAATTACTCGTCAATACACGTGCACGTGAAAATATCTTGACAGCTCAGGGTAGCCACCCGGTTGCTAGTAGCTCCGCCTTTTCTGACACAGAGTACAAAGCACGTCTTGCTTCAGAAGAATCAAATTTCCCTCTTGAAATATCAGTGAAGTAAAGTAAAGACTGTTTTGTGTTCCGTCCACTACGAAAACCCTAAATGTTGGTTTGTTTCGGCTTGGACCTTGACTTCTTCTCTGGTAGGACAGTCGGTTTGGATATAGTCTTCACCTCCGGCGGAACAATCGGCTCGCCCATGGCATTGACGACCAGCTCCTGGACGAATCGAACTTCCCCTGGTTGATACTCATGCTTGTGATGCTCTGTCAACTCCTGCCCCATGAGCACTGTTTGCAGAACGCTCAAGGGATCAGAGTCCGGAGATAAGATGACTATATTCTCTCCGAAATACTGAGTCTCTAGCTTACTCAACAGCTGCCTCACCCGGACAAAAACGTCATCTGACGAATCGTTGGGAGTGCCGTCCTCTCCGGGCACAGGTCTCCAGCTCGAGTCCAAGCCATCGTTCTCAATAATCACCCCCCGCACATCAGCAAGCTTCCCTCCTTCCATATTCCCAACTCCCCTTGCATCCAGAAACGAGAATTCCGGTACAATTTGCTCCCTTCGGACGTTGAGATTATAGGCCATAATCTCCGCTGTCTCAAAACTGCTCGTAGTGACGCTCGGCCATATCCAAGTTTCACTTCCAACGCCTTCCTTGATTAGTGCCTCTGAGGCGCGCATTGCCTGTTCGACACCCGCGGGCGTCAATCCGTGCATCTTGATCGATAGCTTATTGACGGGGTTGGAATTGCAGACTCCCAGTTTGTCCGACACAGTCTCGCAGGCGCGCATTAGAAAGTAGGTATTCGTCAGCGGTTCTTGCAGAGGGAAAACCCGCAGGCCAGAGGTGGCTTGCGCCGGAAGCGGCAGCTGCGGGACTAGAACACCTGCGATGATGCCTAGGGAAACTTTGGCAAAGTCTCGGCGGGAGACCGCGGACGCAGAGATGCGCGTTCTAGAACACCTGCTGTGAGAGATATTTGGCCGCATTGCGGGGAGGGCCACAGGTTTACCCACGAAGGTGGATACCATAGTAGGTGGAATAAACGCCATGGATTGCGATGAGGAAGACTATGCCGGTTGGTGTGGGTTGTATGCGATTCGGCAGAGGCTGACCGGGCGACGGGTGGCGCTCTTCTTCCTTATCTCTCGTGTCAGAACCGTTTATCAAGAGATGAGAAAGCAGAACGAATGCTGAGCATTTCGAGTAATACGGAGCGTAGCCTTACTGTGCGGATGTGATGAAAAAGGTTGCAGAATTATAGCTCTGCAATGCCGGCTGCGTGCGTGCAAAGCGCCACGGCGCGCAATTGGATAGAGCAGATATTTGTTTCTTGACGCACATTTGCTGTGACGCACATTTGCTGTGACGCACATTTGCTGTGGAATTGCAGAGGCGGATCTATTGCTCCAATTAAAGTCGATTATCCAATTCTTTGATTTTGGTTTTCCTAAACATTTGCCAAAAACACGCTCATTTTCCCGTGAAATCGTGCGTCCATTCTCCTGTGGTTCTCAACTTGCAGAACAAGACATGCTGCCTCCCTGCGGCATTCCGTCTGCAGTATGCAACTGATTTGCTTCTGTTTTTTTGTTTTTGTTTTTGTATTTTTCCACCAGGCTATCCATCCGCCTAGATTTTCAAGGCGATCCAAAAGCGTGTGGCTCTACGCACAAAGCCTTCGGGAAAATTGCCCATCAGTTTGTTGGTGCGACTGGGTCTTGCTTCTTCCTCAGGTGAGCGGAGCCCTTAATCCTCAATCGGTACAGAAAGCCTGCTATAAAGAAGACCTTTCCACGTTTATGTCTGACCGTCATCTTACAACGTCACGGCCCAAAGCACGCCACCCCTGGTCTAAGGAACGATGTCCCAGCCCCAGCGCGTTACGATAGGCTCGTGCGTCAAGTTATCTATAGTCGATGCCAGAGCTCGCGATTATCTGGCCAACGAGCGTACGCTTTTGGCTCACACTCGGACTGCTTTTGCCTGTGTCGGTCTTGGTGTTGCTCTCTCTTCCACGGGGCTAAATACCAACGACCGCAGCTCCGCAAGCATAGGTCTTATGCTTGTCATTCTCGGAGTCATCATCTTTGTCTACGCCACTCCTCGCTACTATTTCAACCTTGTTTCCATAGCCCAGAATTCGTTTGCCCTCGACTACACGACCCCGGCCTTTTTTACGCTCGTAATGCTCACAGCTGCAGCATTATCCTTTTATTTAGTCATCTCGCGGTGACTTTGTGACACGACACGAAATCTCATCTGCCTTTACCTGTATCTCCTAGGTCAACTTTTCACTAGCTTTTCGTTATAATTTAACAATGATATTGCCATATATCCGAGAACAAGTGGGATCGTTTCTGGGATAGATCAGATATCCTCAAAAGGAAGGAACACGAATGGCTGGGCGTGAAATGCTTCGAAAGAAGAATCTGCAAGGCATACAGATGCTTATCTCAATCTCCCTCAATTGGCAAGTGTCCCACGCATAGTGCTTCCCATTCTTGCTCTCTCCGTATTTCTGTTCTGTCTTGGTGTTCTCTTAACTCTTTTACCACTTCACGTTTTTCGTTTGTTCCAACTTGTGTGTGAAGGTATTGTGCTCTAGCAGTCCCTAGTGTACGCCGAAATTATGTCACAGGAGAGATTTCGTCAATTGCAATCTGTTCTTGAGACTGAGGTTGAAGGATATTTGAAGGTCATCAGGAGAATTGGAATACCACGGCGGAGATACTTCCGTCTATCTGGTGCCGTGTTGTACGAATATCCAAGTGGAGAAGATGTGATCCAAAACTTTGACCCTCGGGAGGGTATTGTGTATCGCGTCCTCAACGCGAATAGAGCAAAACGCGAGATAATAATCATGGTTTCCAATCGAAAGAGACACCTCACACTTTTTGCAAAATGCGGTACTGAATACGATCTTTGGAAGGATGCCCTCACAGAGGCGTCGGAGAGAGACATATTTAAGAAATACGAACTCGGGAGGAGACTGGGGAGCGGGTCTTACGGAGAAGTGTTTTATGGCACCCACAGGGAATCGGGGATGCCTGTTGCTATAAAACGAATCGCGAAAACATCAAAAAGCCGATACTTCGAACGCGAAGTCAATGTTGTAAAAAGCATTCATCATTCGAACATTGTCAAAACATACGATATATACGAAACAATGGAGTATTTGTATCTCGTGCTTGAATACATGCGCGGAGGAGAACTGTACGAAGTGCTCGCCAAGGTCGGAACATTGTCTGAAAAGAAAGCCAGCCATGTTATTCGTTCAATTCTGGAGGCTTTGTCTTACTTGCATCGACACGGAATTGTTCATCGTGATTTGAAGCCGGAGAACATTTTATGCAAAAACACGGATCCGAACACATTAGAGGTAAAAATAGCAGATTTCGGGCTCGCTGGCGTTATGGTGACGGCAAAAAAAGTTCAGGCCCTGGATACGGAAGATGAGTTGGTGTCTCCAAGGAGCGAATCCTACAGCCCAAGTAGGCGTATGTTTTCTGAACAATTGCGATCTCTTCTCTCTCCACGTCGCCCCTCTGGGCGCATTGGAGGGGGAAACACCGAACGAACAATTCAAACAGGCATGGATCAACGAGATGCCTTCAACTTCGATGATTGGCACGAGTACGATTTGTATGCCGCCGCAGAAAACGAATTAGTGGGGGCAGATCAGACCATGACCTCCTACGTAGGAAGTCCAGCGTTTTGCGCCCCAGAGGTATTGCGAAAGGTCAAGTATGGACCCCCGGTCGATAGTTGGGGTGTGGGCGTCATTCTCTTCAACATGCTCACTGGAAGGCTTCCGTTTGAAGGGCGTACCGCTAAGGAAACTGTGAAACTTGTGAAAACTGCACAATACGAAATGCCATCAAGAGAATGGAGAGGAATCTCCGCTGAGGCTCAGAGCCTAGTGAAGAGTCTTCTTCAAGAGGACGTAAGTTTAAACGAAACAATTCACTTCAATGCCTGCGTTTATAGAATTTCTTGCGGGCCACCTCTCTGCGAAGTGTTTGCTAACTCTTGTGATTTCTCATTCCCATTCCTATCAGCCGCTCAAAAGACTTAATGCACAAGCAGCAACACATCATCCATGGCTTGAGACGAACTCAGATCACCCGCTTCAACACGATGTCTCCTTGCTCTACAATCGGAGAGCAGCAGTTAAGCGAACAATGAGAGGAGTCATAGCGACGTCCAGGATGAAAACATTAAGCTTGCAGTTACCGGATAAGGGAAAGCTACCTCGGGATGGGAAGAGTATGACGGCTAAGGATCAACTTCTTTTAGCACACATATCTAAATACATGCGCGACGCTTCATAAATATCACTTTACTTAGTTTAGGATAAAGGTTGTTAGTGGGACAAACATGTCTACAGAAATACTAACCCTTCAAATTTCTTAGAAGTGAAACTTTGTTCGCGAACAAGCAGCCTTCCAGAAGGGATTTCGAAAGCAGAAAGCAATGTTGCCGTCTGGCGCGGCTTTCCTGAAGCGGCACTGTTTTCGATTTCTATTGTTCGCAGGGCCAAAATTACGCTATCACCTGTTCCGGGAACAAATTTTGCACTCGAAAAGCCTCGCAAACCGGACGGATCCTGAAGTCCCTTGACATCAATTGCTGTGATCGTCTCAAAGTCTTCGGACGCGATAATCACAGTTTTTCCACCCTTCATTTCATTCTTTGCCGCATCGAAAGGTTCCTTGCTTATTCTTCTTGGCAGGAACACCCACTCTCGTCTTGCCTCTGACCAAAGCACAGCCTCATGCATCAGGTAACCAGGAAATGTAACGCCTGCCACGGCCGCAACTCGGTCGAAACGTCCTGACCAATCCTCATGCGAGACTTGAAAGTTCTTGTCAATGATCTTTACCCATTTGGGATTGTTGTTTTTGATTCGTGTCCCGTCGTTGGGATCTGTAAAACTACGCCCATGTCCACCCACAATCATTCTATCATCTTTCACAACCATCCACTCAGACTTGAAGAATGCTTGTGAGTTATTTCCAGACCCGTCAAGCAACTTCGCCCTCTGAAACGTTGAAGGCACGACCTTCGATGCATCGCCGTCAAACTCATGCTCTGCATTTATCTCCAAAAGCCCTCTCGGCGATACTATTTCAAATAAAGTTCCAGTGCGATCATCGGGCGTCAACAAGTGCCCGTTGAACCACTCAAGCTCGCTCAACTCCATACCTCTACCACCGCTCGGGTGGAAGCCGTCTCTGCCCCTTTCAAAATTCCCATGTGCGCTGAGCTCAATTTCGTCAAGCCATTCTACACTAGAGCCCTCTGGGCCTGCATTCCCAATTTTCGCTGATGGAAACTCAAGCGAGAAGATGCCACGCTTTAAATAGCTCACCCAAGTGTTCGCCTTCGCGCATGATGTTTCTTTGATAGGTGAATTGTGCTTCTCTTGATATCTGCAACTCTCTTTATCGAGATCGGTGATCACCCCGATAACCCATGGCCCATTTTCAAAGTTTCTTGTCAAGGGCGCTGCTGGGCGATGTCTCAGCATAGCCTCGAACGCAGCGACACTCTCACCTGCACGCCTCCCGGATAGCGCACCCGTGAGACGGCCAAGAAAAGCTCCTAAAGCGGAAAATGGATTTGCTCCTCTGCCCTGTGGTTCAAAAATTATCGATCCAGAGAAAAGCACAAGAACGGCGAAAAAGGATATGCGAGTAACCGCCTTCGCTGTGACATATACGGAGCGATGGCGCGCGGTATTGCGAGCATGACGCTGCTTGATGGCAAGAGCGCTGAGGCGGGCGCCAGTGCGGACTTTGACATTGTGGATGGCGCGGGAGATGGATAAGAAGGGGTCATGGGAGCGCGGGGAGGAGGGAGGGGAGTGCTTGTCTTGCTTAGAGGGAGTGCCATCCGGACTGCGCTCGGCGATAGGGGCGGGGCGTGGGCGCCCTGTCGCAAGATCGGAAAGACACGACTCGCTCATGTTCGGCCGGGAAAAGCTGCGACTGTGGGCAGTCATCGCCCCTCGCCGTGTGTTATTGTTCATGCTTCCATTTTCGTACCGCTACGGGCGGTATTTGCTCGATGAGAAGCTGTATCAAGAGGAATGCAGTTAAACCAGGATCAAAAAGCTGATGATAAGAGATAAGTCGACGGGGAGGGTTGTGGTCGATGTGCGTATCGACGGTGAGTATGGGGAAGAAAAGGTCTTTCGCTGCCTTTGATAGGGCTTGTGCGAGTCGCTGTGCGTTGAATGACTTGAAAGTTGACGGGAGGCTGTGGCGAAGTTTAAGAGAGCAGCTCTCTTGGGCAAAAAATGGCGGTCTCGAATGACGAGAAGCAAGAGAGATATGCCTCCGCTTCACTGTTTAACACAGTTGAGGCCCTCAACAATTGTGCTGTTGTGACGTCCTCACCGCGACGTCGATCGGCTTACGTCTGGCTGGCCTCTATGATACAATGCAGTGACGTCTGTTGATGGTAGAATCTTGGCTGTTTCAGGTCCAATGTTCGTTTTGATTTCGAAACCTCAACTCAGCCAGTTGTGTGCTTTGCAGTTCACGTCAAATTTTCGATTAGACTTGACATGAATGATCAATGATCTAATCGATCCTCCATAATGGATTTGGCACTGTACAGGTATGATAGTCGGTCGCGGTCCTGTCGTAGTTTTCAACATTTTGAGAATCATGCTAATTTTCCCCAAATTTCGTTGCCCGATCAAGGGATCAATTTTCCCTCCAAAGTCCGGTGCCGTGAAAAATCGCGGGCGACATAGAGTCTGAGTGAGCTGTACTCCCCACTATTCCTCCTCAACAATCCCATTCCAGTCACCGCCAGTGCGGTAAGCAACTCTCAACACTATAATGATGGCACCACAAGGAGGGTCACGCTTCGGCGTTGACCCATCGGTCCTCAAGGAAAATGCTTCCGAACAGAAGGGCGAGAATGCCCGCATTTCCTCCTTCGTCGGTGCTCTAGCCATCACAGATCTCGTCAAGACCACATTGGGTCCCAAAGGCATGGATAAGATTCTGCAATCCGCCGGGGGTGACGTGCAAGTAACTAACGATGGTGCCACTATCCTCAGCAACATCTCCATTGACAATGCTGCCGCAAAAGTTCTCGTCGAAGTGTCAAAGGTTCAGGACGACGAAGTGGGCGACGGAACCACAAGCGTATGCGTTCTTGCGGGTGAGCTGCTGCGCGAAGCAGAAAAACTCTTGGAGTGTAAGATCCATCCCCAAACTATTATCGCGGGTTACAGAATGGCTACTGATGCCGCTGCAAAGGCACTGGAGGAATCCACCGTTGACAACGGCGCGGATCCAGAAAAGTTCAGAACTGATTTGCTCAATATTGCCAGAACTACCCTTTCGTCCAAAGTTTTGTCCCAAGCCCGCGATCACTTCGCCACTATTGCTGTGGACGCCGTCTTACGACTTCGCGGATCTACCACTCTTGACCACATTCAAATCATCAAAAAGTCGGGCGAAAGTCTCGCCGATTCTTGGTTGGAGCCAGGTTTCATTTTAGAGAAAAAGCTTGGTGTCGGACAACCAACTCGTGTTGAGAATGCTAAGATTCTCATCGCCAACACTGCCATGGACACAGACAAGGTCAAGATTTATGGATCTCGCATAAGGGTGGACTCTCTTAAGCGCGTTGCGGAAATTGAGGATGCCGAAAGGGACAAGATGATCGCCAAGTGCGATCGCATCCTTGCCCACGGTTGCAATGTGTTTGTCAACCGGCAGCTCATTTACAACCGACCAGAGCAATACTTCACGTCAAAGGGTATTGTCGCTATTGAACACGCCGATTTCGATGGGGTGGAGCGCCTGGCCCTCGTGACTGGCGGTGAAATTGTCTCTACATTTGAAGATCCTGAGAGTGTCCAGCTTGGACATGCAGATGTCGTAGAAGAGGCGATGATTGGAGAGGATACTGTCATTCGTTTTGTGGGCTGCACTGCTAACGAGGCATGCACCGTGGTGCTCCGAGGTGCCAACATGCAGCTTCTTGACGAAGCTGAAAGAAGTCTGCACGATGCATTGTGCGTTTTGTCCCAAACTGTTGGAGAAACCCGAACAGTCCTCGGTGGGGGGTGTGCAGAAACACTGATGGCCCATGCTGTTGATGAGGTGGCGAAGAAAACGCCTGGGAAGAAAGCCCTTGCCGTCGAGGCCTTTGCGAGAGCCCTCAGGGCTCTCCCAGAAATCATCGCAAGCAATGCAGGTTATGATTCGCATGAGATTGTCGCACAGTTGCGAGCCGCACATGCGGAGGGCAATAAGACCGCTGGTCTTGACATGAATCGAGGCTGTGTCGGCGATGTCCGTAAACTAGGTATTACCGAGAGCTTCAAACTGAAACGCCAGATGCTTTCGTCCGCCGTTGAAGGAGCGGAAATGATTATTCGAGTGGACGATATCCTTAAGGCTGCTCCCAGAGAGCGCGACAACCCACATCCGCATATGTAGACATGTGACTCACACGTCCCCGTTGAAGAGGTTTAGATCTGCAGTGTAAAGAGAAGAAGCCTGTCGGCGTTTGCTAACTACATGTAGTTATCGATAATTAGCAGCACGGAGGGATGGGCTCTCGTTGCTGAAAGATTCGTTCGCCTTCGCCTTCAACAAGGCGACCGAGGAAAAGGTTTCGTTCCAAATAGTCGTTGATTACTTTGGCCGTCTGGTCGGGCTGATCTTCATGAACAGCATGTCCGGCCGTGGGTATCAAAATGTTTTGAAACTTGCCTTGCATCTGGGCGATCATAAGGTGCTTGTCCAAGCGATCGACGCTCGCCAGGACGAGCATTTTGGCCACATCGACCGACAAAAATAAAGAGCTCAGTCCTTGAAACCAGCCCCTCCAATAGCCCTCACTCTGCTCCAAGTCAGTACGCCATGTCCATCTGTCTTTATTCGTTGCCCGTACCAACTGTGGAGGCACAGACAGCCTCGCGGACTCCGTGTTCCGTACATGCCCCGCTTTCGTGACATAGCGGACTGCCTTTTGCACAGTGCCAAACGACGCAGGCCTCGCGCGCAACCAATGGACCATGTAAGGCAGTGCCGACATAGCCGTGCCTTCAACCACGTCAATAACAACAAGACCGACAATCCTCTCCAAATGCTTCGAAGCAGTTAACCTAGCAGCAATGGCGCCACCCATGGAATGTCCAATGACTACCAGCCGCGGTACTTGAGTGCCACGTTGCTTGAAAAAGGTCCGGACAAGCTCTGCCGCATCGGCCACCTGCGTCTCTGCGGACAGATCGGTATCATCATCAGCGACGGAATTGCCATGGCCGCGTGCGTCAAAGGCGATGACAGGACATCGTTTGCGAAGCTTATCGGCGACAAGAGCCCAGCTAAGCGCGGAGTGGCCGCCACCGTGTAAGAAGAGGAGACAAAAGTCAGAAGAGGGGGTGAAGGAGGCGTGATAGAGGCGGAAGACTGCGTTTCGCGAAGGGACGTGGAGATCGAGGCTATGGTCGAAGCAGTCCGTCCAACTGCGTGGGGAAAAGTCGTCGGCTGTTGGTGCGGGTGAGGCCGAGGGAGAGGGCGAAGCAGAGTGCAGTACGCCGGCGGAGGGACGGCGGATTGCAGGCAAGGATGCGGAAGGGGATGTCGGGGCACGGTCGGGAAATCGAGTAGGTCTGGATAGAGAGGGCGGGGGAGGCATTGAAGTGGAGGGCTTTGCAGAAGAAGGTGGTTTCATTTGGGTCAGTGTGATGGGTGAACGATGATGCTGAATGCGCGCAAGGAGATGCCGCTGCTCCGTCTCAAGCGAAGGCGGAGGGTTACGGGATTCTTGATGACGTGGTCTCCTGCCGTACAGTGCTGTGGCATACACGTGTCGATGATGAAAGTGAACAGCTGCCTCTCGCGGCGCTCCAGCCCATGGATTCGACGTGCTACCCTTCGAAGGGTACTGCACAGTACAACACAGTACAACACAGGCAAAGTTAGACTCTTTTGTAATGTGCTGTAAGGATAGCTGAGTGTAGCGTTGCTCGTCTGTGGAATACAATATGCACCCACACTGGACGCAGTATTTATTGTACAGTTGAGGTGGCGCTACCGAAGGTTATGCTCCGCGGCGCTGTGACATTGTAGGGTACGGTATCAGGTGCAGTAATTCACGTATTTCCAAGCAGGTGTTCGCTCGGACTGGAGGGATGCACTTGTCATTCCGCACGGATACTAAACACAAATGAAAGGCTACCCGCTCAGCGTATTGTACAGTGGATTCCAGAGGGGAAATTGGCCCGAGCAGACACGGCAGATGCAGCATGCTCTGTGGAAGATATCAAGGAGCGCCTGCACGTGGAGCCAAAGAGGCTCTCGTATTTGATGGTGCCCTGAGGGCACCGTCACATCACACCACCAGCAAACCTCATCACACAGACACATAAACTTTAGCTTGCCGCACTCAACATTTCGTCTCAAGAGGTACACGACTCCATGTCCTGTAGACAGCTCGCTCGCGCTGCATTCCCACCAACACGAGAGAGTTATCGACAACCTCAGGCATCTCGTTGCGCATCTTTCCACACGAGTGCCAGTCAGGGCCCTGCATGAAAACGGGGTGGACGTTTTCCAGTCCCCGTCTGCAACCTGTCCTCCAGTAGCCATGCAGCGAAGCCAAATATCGATGCAGGTAACAGGGCGTCTCAAAATAACAGACGTGTCTCTCCTTTTTTAAGCAAATTACGAAACAGTCTGCCCCTATTATTGCAGGCCGTTTCGCGTCTGAAGGGCTTGGTCTGCAAGGTTTTGCCCAGCAGGGGTTCAGCCAGCATGGGCGCCTTCCACTGCCCTCCAAATTGACACCGACTTGAAAAAAACACGGTACAGCACAGCAGGTACTATTGTATTGTGCCGCATTCCTTGTGGGAGCGTTCCACTTGCTGGGCCGCTGCATTCAAAACTGTGGACCGTCCTATGGGGTAGCCGCTGAGCGGGGTGCGCTGTCAGGGATATGTGTACTGTAATCTACCCAAGTAGCCTTCACCAGCGCAGATACATTGGAATCGTGCGAAAGAATCGTCGGCATGTGGCTGAGGATGAGGAGCAGGGGCCACGGTGCGTACGAAGCGAAGGCGGTATCGACCAATAATTTTGCACATTGAGATGAGGGGGAATTTGTGGAGGTGACGGATGCAGGGACACGAGGGAGATTGCGGTGACGTGGTCCCCTCGGGGCGGTAGCAGCGGGCAGATGTCGCGTGTGCGCCGTTTTTTGCAGCCTTGCTCCTCCCACTGGGACCACTCTCCCCTTTTTGGGTTACTCAATCTGGAGACCGTGTGGTTTCTCGTGCACCCTACACAGGTTCCCCAACCTATAACCAAACCAACCCCCTCTGCGCCTCCTCATCTCTCATCCCCGACTTTTTCATGCCACCCTGCTTCCCTACCTACACCTACACCTGCGCTCTCTGATACTCTCCGCCCCCCACCACCAGACACCATCTCCTCCTCCCCGCGCAGCTACTCCCACAAATCTCACCTACCTCCATGCTACGACCCCTTGCCTGTGCAACTCACACATAAAATCTCTCACCACCCCCACGGCACGATGGAACAAGACGATGTCGAAATGACTTCCCCGGCCCCAAGCTCGGAGCCATCCCGCAGCCCCCCAACCTCCCCGTCTTTGCAACTGCTCACTACCCCCGAGCCGTCCACATCCGGTCGCATCTCCATGCCTACCCTCCTCCCACCACCCCCGCTTCCTCAGATCTCTGCCTCTCCTGTCACACCAGCCCCTCCTATCCACCAGCTGGCCCCATCTCCTGATCACAAGCCTTTCACTTCCTCTGTCGGAACTCTGGAGTCATTCTTAGGGGCAGCATCTCGCCAGTCTAAATGGGCTCTTGTGCTCTTGTTGCCCAGCCGCTTTTCCGCCCCTTCTTCCACAGCACCAGCCACCCGCCCGGCTTGGGGTGCGGGAGCCTACCACCAACCCAAGAAGCTCTTCGGCCTTGGACATATTGCAGACAAAATCCTCATGTGGAGGCGCACGAAAGGCTCCTCGGATGCCGACCGATACCAAGCATTCTTTCCTGTTGACGGTCATCCCCATCTGGCTCTTCTAGACCCCCGCTCCGGTGAAAGATTGGCTGTCTGGGGAAATCAAGATGGTCAAGGCATGGAATCATACAATTCTATCACAGATGATTTATGGAATGTCGTTCTTGAAGACCTCGACAAATTTTTGGAGTCCCATAGTCTGGAAGACGGAGCTCTAGGTCCCGTCCACCTCCGGGAGAAGTCTTGGGCTGTTCGTACTCGCCGTGTCACTGAACGAGCTTCTGTCAGTTGTCCCAACCTACCTCCGACCTCGGTCATGGATGACGAGGAAGCCGCTATTGCAGCAGCCATCGCCGCCTCGCTTGCCGAGGCTGAAAATAACGACCAAAAGTCATCGGATAATGACTATTCCGACGATTGTGATTCTAGTGGTTCAAGTGACGAAATTTTGAGCACCGATAGCATAGCCGGTGAAGGCACCACGTCCGCGGAACAGGCTTCATCCGGGTCGGAGGAGACGGCTACTCCATCTGAGGGCTCCAGCGAGATCGGATCATTGAGTATGGACATCTCAACAAGGCTCGACGAAACTCGACGTGCCGTCTCAATGCCTGTCCCCATCCCATCCCACGCACAAGACCCAAGCCCGTCGTCGATCGAATCTCTTTCGCACTCCTACATCGAGCGCATGGACTCTCGTTTTCGCTCCAACACTAACCCCGCGCTGCTCGAAGCGCGTCGTCTTCGGCAAGAACAAGACGAGGAGCTGGCACGCTCGCTCCAAGAAGATCGGAAACGCAACCTTCAGGAGCAGCTCACGGCTGCCAAGCGCGCGGCAGAGAAGACGCAGCAGCTGGCAGCGGTGGTACGGCTGCCCGATGAGCCTCTGGAAGACTCGGTGGAGGCGTTGACAATCGCGCTGCGTGTGGCCGGCGGCGCAAGGATTGCACGTAGATTCAGCGGCAGGGACAAACTCAGGAGCGTGGCCGATTTTGCGACGGCAGAGATCGGATGCATTGACCTTTTGAGAAAAGACCCGAAGAGGGTGCTCAGGATTGCCGGCGGGGAGCTGTCGACCGGCAGCTGGGAGACAAGGCTGGAGGAGATGGGGCTTAGCAGAAGGACGATGTTGATTCTAAACACAGAATGAGACCCGCGTGTAGGCATGTCTTTGTATCCATACTTGAGAAGAGGCACTCGACTGGAGGCGTTTGTAGAAAAGGAATTGTGGTCACCCACTTGTAAATTATGTCATTTCGCGATTGCACATGAAACACCTTGTTCACTTCACTCACGTACCGTTACAGCCGAGGTGCGCCGACCCGCACGAGTCGCCCCTCGCGGCTTTCCCCTCTGCCCTGCGCTCCCTAAAGAAGTGTCTCATGAGCTCTGCGGCCTCGTCCTCCAACACGCCGCCGCGTACATCTCGAAACGTGTGAAACGGATGTTTCTCCTCATGCACGGGTAGCCACGTGCCACACACGCCAAGCCTCAAGTCTTTGGCGGCGTAAACGACGGCGTCGACTCTGGCGAGAGCAAGTGCGCTAAGACACATAGGGCACGGCTCCAGAGTCGAGTACAGAGTGGTGTCGTGCAGCCGCCAGTTGCCAGCGGCGGCGGCGGCGCGGCGCACGCAGAGGATCTCGGCATGCGCAGTGGGGTCGTGCAGCGACTCGACGAGGTTGTGTGCCGCGGAAAGGACGGCCCCGGAACTGCACACCAGGACGGCGCCGACCGGGACTTCGCCCGGACTATAGGCGCGGCGCGCTTGCGCGAGCGCTTCGCGCATGGGCTCGAGATGCGCCACGGTCGTGCAGAGAGTTCGTGGGGATGGGCGTAGGCGATGCAGGGGGGGACGGCGTCAGGAAGGAGAGAGCACAGCGACGGTTGGGGGGGATGAAGGGGTGCGGATGAAGGGGTGCGAGTGAAGGTAGGGAGAGATGCCAATGTGGAGGGCCGGGGGGCTGGATTAGGGTTTTGTAAGAGCAGGATGGATGATACAGTACAGATCTGTACTGTAGTGGGACGGAAAATGACGGGAGATGGTGGGACGGTGGGAGATGGTGGGACGGTGGGAGATGGTGGGAGGTGGGAGATGATGTTTTGCGGTTCTTTTTGCGCAGTTTCTAAATAAACAGAACGGCGTGGCGCAGTTTCTAAAATACACGGAACGCGGTTGCCCAGCTTCTAAATACCCTTCGAAGGGTAGACCCAATACTCTCTCAATAAAGTCGACCATTCAAGGGTAGACGAAACGGCGTTGCCCCATGGTGTCGTTTCAGGTTGAGGCTTTTGTGAGACAGGGGAAGTCTCGGGGAGAGGAGGCAGGGTGTCGTTTCAGGTTGAGGCTTTCGTGGGACAGGGGACTTCTCGGGGAGAGGAGGCAGGGTGAGCACGTGAAGCTTGTGGGGTGTTGTCACGAGTATGGACTTTGGTTCAAGTGCGTGTGAATAACGCAACCTCTCTCGGCTTTTTGCGCCTTGTTCGGTAGGAAAGGGAGTATGTGGACGTGTTTTTCTCCATGGTTTTCACCATGTTTTTCTCCATACTTTTCTCCATACTTTTCTCCATGTTTTTCCCCAGCAAAGCTTGATGGCATGGTGCAAGTCAGGAAATCAGTACTGAAGAGTCATCTTTCTCCAACTACAGCACCATGCAAGTGCAATGCCATTACCACAATACCATTTTAACTAAGACAACCGCCGCTCCCCTCACTTGGTACGTTTTTCTTTATGTCGTGAAGGTTCGAGTAGCCGAATTCTTTGTAGGGATATGCGTGAAGCTGCAGGGTGAGGCTTGAAAATAAGTAACCAACAATAATAGTGGGGACTGTTCTGCATACGAGCAACCAGTTTATCTCGCGAAATCAACCTTGCTGTACCTACGTTGTTTTTCACTTCACGATATCTTGGTTCACACACCCTATCGCATGACCAGGATATCAAGATCTTTGTGTATGTAGCGCACGAAAAAATGGTCTGGTTGATCGGAAGGCAGGGGAGCACGGATGGCGGGGACAATGGCGTTGCTGATTGAGAAAGTCAGGGTAGGTTGATAGTGGACTTTCACTTTTGAATAAGCCAATGCGCTGCGAGATGAGATCTCACCCCAGGGTCTTCAATGACAGCCAACGTGAAATGCCAGCGGCCAATACAGGGAAGTTGTAACCGGCGAGCGGGAAAAGGTGGCTATGAATCGGGCGTAGGCGTTTCCGGAATGCGAAGGGCATGCCGGATGATGCGGTGAAGAGTGCGGACGTTGTAGTTGATGTCTTTAGCAACGCGGGCTTGACGGCGTGCGGCGTGACAAGGGATGGGACTGCGAAAGGGAATGCCAGATGAGATGCTGCCCCCCATGTTCGATATTAAAAGGCACCGGGGGAGCGGGTAGGGCGACGGCAATTCAGCACCGGATGGAGAAGCTGTGATGTTGGTGGAAGCCGGATTTCACCGCCGAATAAGCCACGCGGCTGTGGAATGGGATGAGATGGGATGAGATGAGATGAGATGAGATGAGATGAGATGAGATGAGATGAGATGGGATGAGATGGGATGAGATGAAAGGATTGCTGCATTGCTGCGTGACCTTTACTGGACAGCAATTGTAAGAGCAAATATGGATAGATAGATGGCGAGGCAGACCGAGAAACCAAGCGGAAGTGGAAGCACGGTTTCACTGCTGAACAGGCCACGGTGCTGCGAGATGAGACTTTGCGGGAGGTTCTTCGATGTCAGCTATCGTTCAATGATAACAGGCCCCACGTTTATCTCTTCAGGACATGTTCTAAATGCTAGATATGCCAGGATTTTAAACACGCGTTTCGTGTCGACAGCACGAATACTGACAAACTTAACTATCTTTTGTCCTCGATTCAGAGCCGTGAGTGTTCGTGTCCGAGATTGCATCACAAAAGAACTGACACAAGCAAGTCAGTCTGCATTCGCCTGAATGCACACCAAATCCTCTGCTTATGATACTTTATCAAAAACGACGCGGGACAGCAGTATATAAGTCCCGTTGGAGTCCGTCTCGCATCTTTACCTTAACTATTCGACACGATGTACGGGGAGTTGTTTTTATGCTGAAATGCATCTCCTTGCATCCCTTCACAGCGTGCGCCCATTCCATCCGCCGCACGCTTCCATACTACTTTTTTTAGCAAGGAGCGTGCTGCACTTCATGATGACTAACTGAGACTGTTTACTCGTTTTGTTTGTTGGCGTAGGTTCAAGATGGGGCCCCTAGAAGACCATGGCGCGCCGTAGGCCCCAGTGCTATGCCTTGCCCTCGGATCGCAGTGCTGTTTTCGACCCGCGCACATCTCGGCCCGTTGTTGTGTTTGGGTTGAAAACGGCGCTGAACGAACAGTTGGGATGTTCGGGAGTGGCCCAGCAAGGCATGCACTGGATCGTCGCAGGACCACCGCATCAGCCTTCATGGCTGAGGACTGCGCTGGTCGCGTCTCTTCACGGCCCGTGGGACGGTCGTGGAGAGGTGTCGCATAGAAGGCTCAAGATCTCAAGAGACCAAGGCTAGGGGAAGATAGGTGCTCGGGTGCGTGGCTCGGCATGGGCGCATGCTGGGGGCGGACACCGGGCGGAACCGGGTCACCCATTGACAAATGTTGATGGGCAAGATCCGGGGGGTTGTCGTCGCTCACTACGGTGTGAGGCGTCAAGGGGGTCTTCGTTCACGACTGTTGGACGGGGGCAGGTGGGTCCTCACTCATGACGGTGGGTGAGACCTCGGTCGGGTCCTTTGCACATTGCGGTGTGCGGGGAAGGATGGCTCTCACTCGCGACGGTGGGTGGGAGCGGGATGTCTCTCTTTCACTGCGGTGGAAGGGGGAGCTCTCGTTCACGACGGTGGACGGGAGCACGACTATGCTCCTCGTTATTTTGGTGTTCAACTACTGTACCTGTTTTATGGTTGTTCATCAAAGTACAGGGGAGTGCCCCTCGCTCACGACGGTGGGTGGGGGGATGTGATGCCTTCATCGTTTTCTTGTTCATCCCGCGGTCTTATGGATGTTCAAGAAAACGTATGGCGGCATAAAACGTTTTTGTTTGTGACCTGTCCGTCCTGTCCGTCCTGTCCGTCTGCTCGTTACTTCTGGCTGCTGATAAATTCCTGGAGACTCTCAAGCTTTCATTACGATTCCTCTGCTCTCAATACTTTCTCATACTACTCGAGAAGAAGCGATGGGCAGATGAAAAAGGAGCGTAATACAAGCAGTAATTGAGGTTGTGCATTTAAGAGCTTGTATCCATGACGGACGACAAGTTTTAAGTTTCAACGTTTCAACATGTTCGCCGCACAAACACCTCTGCCTCTATGCCTACTCTGCTTTATCATCATTACTTTCACAAGACTGTTAAACATTTCAAGCTGTTTGTCCACCTCGCTACATCACCATCTCACATGGTCTCTTCTGCGCTCTTCTGTGAGCGTAAATCCGTGAGCACAGCTAGTAAACAAGTCTTTTGTGTGTTATTCTCACTTGATGTAAATTACTTTTCATGGCTTCGTTTTGCTTGCACGTCTCGTATCTCGTTCTCAGTTTCGCTCTTCCATGTAATGTGTTATTATCTATTCAATAGTTTATGCAGGTATGATATGCGGGAGGCATGAAAAGCATGAGGCATGCAACGGTCCGTCCTCAGAAACAGAATTAGTCCCGATTATATAAAAGCAATTTGGTGATCGAGAGAATAGAGCTACTCCAGTGCTCATGGTGGAGCTCGCCCTTGAGGAGAATGAGCATCGAACCCAAAGTGTAAAGAAACGTCGTGGGAACATGGTATTCAACGAAAGCAGTGCGCGGGCGAGGACGGCGACTACATGTCTGCCACAAATCGATGCCACAAATCGAGAAGCAAAGAGGTTGGTGGAAAGCGCGCTGTCACTGTTGAGCAGCGCATGGGGCTGCAAGATGAAATCTCGGGGCAGGGTCTTTAGTGACAGCTACCGTGCAATGCCAGAAACCGTTCAAGCGGACGATGCACCAAAGGTGTAACCGACTTGCGGGACAAAGTGGCTACCAACGTCGCGGGCAAGCACGTGCGGAATACAAAGGATGAGGCAGGAGGCGGACGGTGTGGTGAAGAATGCGGACGTTGTCAGAGATGACAGCGCGGCAACGCAGTCTTCACGACATGGTTACGGTCAGAGCCACGGAAGAGATTAGGTTGGCGCCGTAGAAGCCCGTCCACCGTCCATTGGACTTGTCGAGGACATGATGCTTGTCGCGGACATGATTCTCTATGAGGTGCAGCATTAGAGGTGCAGCATTAGAGGTACGGCATTAGACGTGCAGCATTAGACGTGCAGCATTAGACGTGCAGCATTAGACGTGCAGCATTAGAGGGGCAACGGTGGGAGTGGGAGTCGGCATTCGTGGAGGCGGCATTCGTGGATAGTGTGGTGATTCCTTCATATGACTCTCAGTCATTCCTCCCTCACGTCGTTGGCCAACGGCACCTCCCCTTTTGCTCAGTGGTCATCACAGATCAATACGGGAAACTGCAGGGGTGAACGAGCGTTGTTGAGTGGGGTAGAAGGGGTAGAAGAGGGACACCCCACCCTTACGGCGCCTTCAAGCGGGCCAACCCATGATCACACCACCCCTGACGGCGCCTCAAAGCGGGCCGCCCCCACGCGCCCCACGCCCCCCACGCGCCCCACGTGCCACTCCACCCCTGACGGCGTTTTGAAGCGGTCATCGCAATAGGAATACAGTAGTTCATAGTCGCAGTGAACCAATACGAGATGGTCCTTGTTGATCTCAGGCTATTGGCTGTAGCGTTCCACCGTGAAGTGGAACGAAAAGAAGACGCACTATGTCACGGTCACGCATTGGCGTCTGGCGGGTCTGGAGGGTCTTGCGGATTACTTGGCAGCGCCATTTAGGGTTCGGTACTGTTCACGGCGGCGTTGTTGGCACCATTGCCGCCGTTCCATTGACGAGAAAGATCAAGATCTTGCTCGTCCGCTTTTACACATACTACCCTTGGTATCTCCTCTCGACTCTGTATTCTCTTGTTTCTCTTCTTCAAGCCCTTTTCCCTTAACAACTACGTTCAAACTACACATTTTCAGCGACTAGGGGACATGAATCCGTCGTCGACAGAAGACAGCATACCTGTTGCTGAAGTTTTTGATCACAGCGCTGCTGACATCTTGGGACTCACGCGTCCCACTGGTCCGAACAACAGTTCCCTTAACACGCAAGAGGCGTTTGCTGTTCCGCGGACGGTCGGCTCCAAAAATCAGAGCCGCCAAAAACGAGGTACCCGGCGTGGAACTGCTGCAAAAGGCACTGCGAAACGGCAGCATCACAAACGAAAGCTTCTACCTCCAAGCCATGTTACTCAGCATGCCCACTCTCTTGTGGAAAAGGCTCGTGCGAGAGCTCCGCAGATGATTCCAACTAGGTTGGTTGACCATGTCCCAGATTTCGATGCACTTGTCAGGCCGATTAATGCGGCGGAGTATCTTTCTATCACGTCTAGCATGGTTCAGTCTGGATTTAGAAAGAACGAACCAATCCTTTTCACATGTCCTGTTTTCTCTGTAGATGGTTTGAAGGTCGATATTGGGCGTTTTACGTCTGCTGGAAATCATCGCACGGCTTCTACTCGTGATTCTGGATTACCCATGATGTTCGTACAAGGGGTTACGGAGAAGGAGATGAAATCGTTGTATGAGTTCATAAAGCTGGAGGAGGAGGAGAATGGACCGGTTGCGTCAGATACGTTGGAGACTGCGCGCAGGCGGATGTTTCGAGTAATAGATTTGCTTATCATCGCCTCTCATATCAAGGATGTCGCGCCGAAGAACCGTTCTCCCCTGCAGAACGTCGCACTGGTTCGAACTTACGTGAAGGACGATGCCGTTGTGAAGTCTGTCAATCGAGGGAAGTGTGGAGACTGCTACGGTGGAATTCATCTGCTGTGGTCACGAATGTTTGCCAACATGCCGCTAAAAGTTGGTACAGATGTACATTTCCTCCTCGACGAAGGCATCTCCGACCGGCACTGCAACTGCATGCTGCGCGGGGCGATGCATCTCATCGAGACGAACATTCCGAACGTCTCCAAGGTTGGTGGGCGTCCTTCAGCGCTGGACGTTCTTTTGTTCTTGAAGAACGAGTGTGCGATGCCTGACTTCAACATAAGCCACATAAGTAACGTATCGGGCTTGCAGAACGATGAAATAAGGGACGTCATGGTCCAGGCGGTCGGTGAATACATGCACCACGGATTCCTCCAGGAAGCTGTCTTCCCGCGCAATGTCACCGACGAAATCAAGTCTACGCGAAGGGCAGGAGTAAGTGCGGCTGTGGCGGTTCGTGCTCATAAAAACGGTGCCAAGAGGAAGAGGAATGACGTGAATTACAATGAAGGCGGTTCATTTGCCGAGTTTCGAAAAAAGAAGAAGAAGAAGGCCTCTAGCGCATCGGGCCCTGCTGTAGACTGCCAAGCTCCTGGTACGAGTGGTAGGCACGACGCAGAAACCACAACCGAAGACATCCACTCGATATCCGGGAGGGGAATTTCCGCGAGAGACTCACGCGTCCCTGACCTGGTAGTGAGTGAAGTTCAACCGAGCAAAGAAAATTTGGCACTGCAGGCAGGAACGCCTATCTCCAAACCCCCTGTTCTCTCCGGAAATGTCACGGGTCCAGCAGCGGGGACCGGCTTTGAAGAAGCTGCTCCTGGGAATTTGCAGATGCTTCCCTCAATTCCGTCTGCCGCCGACACTGCTGGGTTTCCAGCTCCCGGGCAGACGGAACCGGAATTGGTGGCAACACTCCGCAGCACGTTGCAAAGCTTCAAAGCAGAAGTACAACGTCTTAAGAGGAGTGCGGAGGAGAAGCCACAGCAGGAACTGAGTTGCTTTGCTGACATTGAGGGGGTCCGCCAGGACAAAGCGACAGAACGCAGAGAGGAGAAAGAGACTGTGGAAATCTACCGAAGGGTCAGTGAAGAAGTGCATAGACATCTCGAAGCAAATCGGCAACGCCAAGCGAAATTGTACGAGGACTTTATCAAACGCGTGGACGATGAGGCTAATCGTCAAACTGTAGAATTACAGAAGGGCTCAGCGGAACGTGCCTTGGAAATTGACACACTGAAGGCGCAGATAGTAAAGTACCAACAGCAGCATGTCGCGTCTCGAGAAGCCGACCTAGAGAAAGAGGTGCAGAGACTCCGTCAGGAAGTAGACAATTTAAGAAATGCATCGAGGGCGAACTCTCAAAATGAAGTGACGGACATGCCGGAGGTACCTCGTGCTGGCCGTAGAAGCCGTCGCGTTTCACTGCCATCAATTGCAGCGCTTCGAGCTTTACCCATACATAAGATAGCTGAGTTGGAGCACATGATAGCCAAAGTCAAGAACGAGAATTACACTCAAACTGGCTTCGTGCTTTGTTAAGCATATTCTTTTCTAATCAAAGCATCTCTTTAGTACCCTAGGATGAAGTATCCTACCCTTGCACAGACACTACCCATGCTAGTGGCAACTGGTTTCTCGGCAACCTCAATGGCTCCAGAGATCAAGTCCGAAGCAATCGTTGAGCCCCCCGATTATTCAACACGAAGGACGATGCCC